TTATCCTCTTAATGTGCTTCATGACAAATTCCTAATAACAAAATAAAGAAAATGTTGGCATATTTTAGCAACAATAGGTTCTGAGAGTGTGTTGTACAATGTAATCTCTGTTATCCAGTGAAAATGTCATAGTTTAAGGTTATAGGTCATCAGTTATGATCATGAAGAATAATTATAATTATGAAATATAGCTAGATGTCCAAAAAATGAACACATTCTTCATGAGCTGATTCAGGTGTTCTGGAGTAAACAATAAACTGTACAGGACTGTGGCACTGCAGCACTGGGTCTCCCTGAAATATAACATTTTACTGCCATCTTGTGGACATGAAAGAAAAAAGTACATTTTCAAAAGGTTTGGCCCTCAAACTCAGCTGATTCAACTAAATAAGGTGCGTGAGAATAAAATAGAGTTTGACTCAAGATGTTTCTTGAATTGTGTAAGTGAAAGTGGAGAGGCACTCCAGAAAATTGGTAATCACTGGTCTTCATCATGTAAAGCCTTAATGTTAGGATAGTAACATGTTTAAGTAAGTTGATCAATTAGTTCAATTAATGCCATTTAAACTACATGAAATATCTAAAATAATGAGTAAATTCATACCTCACAGAAATGCTACAAATTACAAACTGCAATGGCATAAAAAAGCTTTTTTTTTAAATCTTGTATTGTTTAGGTGATAGTGGTCCTTTTTAGATTAAATAAACACTCAACAGACTCTCAGTAATATCGACAACATATCAGTGATGTTGCAGCAGTGAATACATTCAGTAGATCATCAAGATACTTTTACCTGCACAAATAAAATTTTGTTTTTAATCTGCTGAATTCAGTTGTGTTTCACTTTATTTGGAGTGTCCAGGTTCATATCTGTAGATGTTAACCTTAAATGTCACTGAACATGTAACAGGCCTAATACTGACCATCTCAACATCCTCAGGATTCTGTTAAAGACACACTGCTGACACCATTCTGTAACTGGAGCCTAACCGGATTAGGATTTGGTTAGGGTTAGGTTTAGGATTAGGTTTTAGAATTAGGGCTAGGATTAGGTTATGCGTTGAGGTTAGGGCTAGGATAAGGGCCAGGGTGAGGGTAAGGATTAGATTCTGGGTTTAGGTTGAGGTTAGGGTTAGGATTAGGTTTTGGGTTTAGGTTAAGGTCAGGGTCAGGATTAAGGCCAGGATTAGGATTTGGATTGAGGCTAAGGTTAGGTTTTGGCTAAGATTGGGTAAGGTTAAGTTTCACTTACTGGAAGTAACACATTAAGTCTATTTCATGTAACATATTAACAACACATCTACTTAATGTCAGTAATGTATCAACAGCACATCTTCAATATATTCACTTCAAAGTATTGCTTCATTACTGATACTTCACTGCTATGCTGTTGATGTGTTACTGATTATCTGTTAAGAGTTTATTAATCATCTACAAAGGACCACTCAAAATAGTTTTACCATTGTTTATTCGGTTCATAACCAATGACCCTCTGAACTGCTGAATTCTTGACAAAAGGTGTGACTCAACAATAGATTAGAACCAATTAGAGGCCAATGTAGCTGCCTCAATCTAGTGAACAGTAGTCTATAATAGTCTAGAGTGAAACCTGTAGTTAAAGTCATGTCAGTGTTGATATATGATCTATAGATGTATTCTCTGAGTGATGTATTTTGCCTACAAAAACTTATATTATATCATCTTATTATATTATCAGAGTTCATACAATCTGATTCTGTTTGAACCAGTCATATATATGTAATCTCTGTTATCCAGGAAAAATATCATAGTCATCATGATCATGAAGAATAATTGTTATTTTTAAAAAAAAGCATGGAGAGTCCAACATTTCTCACTGGAACTAGCCAGATGCTTGCAGTAAAAAATAAAATGAGGCTTTACTCAGAAAAGGGCTTGACAATGCTGCAATGTTTTGTTTTTTTTTGTTTGTTTGTTTGTTTGTTTGTTTGTTTGTTTGTTTTTGTTTTTGTAAACAGGGCTGACTTCAGTCATAAAGTGCCGTGGCATCGCCCCAATAAGTTGCACAGTGCAGAGTCCAATGCCAGTTCACCTCAATTATTTCCAGTCATGCAGTGAACAGATATTGAGGTCTCAGCAAGTCATCAAATGGGAAGTGCTGCTCTGAGTCGCCAAGCAGCCAAGCAGAGAGTAGCAGACAATTATTACATTAGACATTATTATTATTGGAAGTATAAGGGATATGGTTATTGTACTTATAGGAATTTTAATAATTAGCTTGAAGTTTTCAAAAGGGGGAAGAATACAGTGCTACAGATGCAATGCTCTAGCATCCATCTCAGTAATGTATTGCTTTCATAGCTATAAATTCAGTGTTATTTGACTTACAGCTCTGGTTTACTGTATGTGCAGCATTCAGCTCCAATCAGAAAGAGAAAGTGAATCCTAAATATTATAGCTTGGATATGATGGAAAGCTAATAAAGATGAATAAATAATAATAATAAACTAGAAAGGGAAAGTTCGTGAACGCACTTTAAGTTGGCTTGAAAAAGCTAGTTAATTACGTTAAAACGTTAAAATGGTTGAAGGCTGTTGAAATTTGTTTAAATATTGGTAAAATGTTGCTAAGCAGAAGCTGCAGTATCTGTGGTGGATTCTAATTCGTTGCTAGATGCTAGCATGAATGAAGTTCCACCTTAAAGTCTGTGCCAGCTTAAATTTAGTGCTACGTTAAAATCAGTTCCTCCTTAAATTCTGTAATTCCTTAAATTTAGTGCTATGTTAATTTCAGTTACACCTTAAATTGTGTGCCAAATTAATTTGCGTGCTACCTTAAATGCAGTGCCACCTTAAATTCTTCTCAACCTTAAATTTGGTGCCACCTTAAATTTCGAGCTATGTTGATTGAAGATTAAGTTTAATGCGAGGTAATGATAATTCCACCTTGAGTTCTGTTGCAACTGAAATTTAGTGATATGTTAACAGCAGTTCCACCCTAAATGTAATGCTATGGAATGATAATTCCACCTTAATTTCTGTTCCAACTTAAATATAGTGACTATTAATAGCAGTTCCACCTTAAATTTAATGATATGTTAATTGAAGTTCCACCTGAAATTCTGGTCCACCTTAAATGGAGTGTTATGGTAATAGCAGTTCCACCTTAAATTTAATACTATGGTAATTGAAGTTCCACCTTAATTTCAGTGTCAGTGTAAACTCGGTGCTACCTTAACAGAAGTTCAACCTTAAAATTAATGCTATTTTAATTGAAGTTCCACCTTAAATTCTGTGCCATCTTAAATTTAGTGCTATGTTAATTTAAGCTCCACCTTAAATGTAGTGCTCTGTTAATTGAAGTTCCAACATAAATTCTGTGCCACCTTAAAAGAAGATCCACCTTAAATTCTGTGCCATCTTAAATTTGATACTATGTTAATTCCAGTTCCACCTTAAATTCTGTGCCACCAAAAATTTGGTACTATTTTAATTCCAGTTCCACCTTTAATTCTGTGCCACCTTAAATTTAGTGCTATGGTAATTGCAGTTCCACCTTAAATTCTGTGCCATTAAAAATTTAGTGGTATTTTAATTCTGTGCCATGTTGAATTCATTGCTATGTTAATTGAAGTTCCACCTTAAATTTAATAATTTGTAATGGTAATTCCACCTTAAATTGTGTTCCACCTTAAATTTAGTGATATGTCAATAGCAGTTCCACCTTAAATGTAATGTTGTGGAATGATAATTCCACCTTAAATTCTATTCCGATTAAAATATAGTGATTGTTAAATGAAGTTCCACCATAATTTCAGTGTCAGTGTAAACTCAGTGTTACCTTAAAAGAAGTTCCACCTTAAAATTCAGTGCTACCTTAAAAGAAGTTCCACCTTAAAATTCAGTGCTACCTAAGTGCAATTCCACCTTAAAAGCAGTTCCACCTTAACAAATCATTGTGTGCTGACACTGCTGAGCATTAGGCTGGGAGTGCGTGAGACATTGGGCTCCGTGCGTGAGTTTGGATGGGTGTGTGAGTTAACAGGCCATTGTGACATCATGTGTGGCATGCTGCCAACATTCCGCCCATTCATTCCCTATGGGAAAAAATATCGACTTTAAACGTTAATATTCCGAAAACCGTACATCAGATCGCTTAGAAAAGCACAAGCAACCTAATCGGGTATGGGTCCTACGATCCTGTAGCTCTAGCTCGAAAACTGTGGGACGAGAAACATTTTATATTTTGAGCGTAGAATAATAATAATAATAATAATAATAATAATAAGATTACGAAGAACAGTAAGTTGGCTTTTTCAATAATGAAGATAATAAAGATAATAAATACACTGTTCCTTTCTTCATCAGTACATGTACCTGCAGCTCATGTAAACAAAGGCAGCTGCTTTTATCAAACTCCTCACCCACATCAACACAGTGTCTGCTCACTGCTTTTATTACTTCACTGAACTGTTTGAAATGATTTTTTTTATTGCCATTTTAACAAATTAGTGAGTTAACACCTTGCCCACAACCATAAACATATGCAAACTACACAAAACATAAATATCTACACTTTCTATATTTGGTTTGTTAGAAAGCTTAACAGGTGTTTGATTTAGACAAAGTAGAGAGTGTATTTCTGCACATAGGAATAATTGAGCATATTTATCACAAACACTGGATTTTTTTTTATGACTTTTTTATTAGTTTATTGGCACACATGAAGTAAAGAAATTATCTTACTGATGAACTTATTAAAATCCATTTTAATTTCCCTTATATACCTGCCTCAAGAATAAATGTGTCACTGAATTAATGTGAAATAAAGATTTATTTATTGATAGGGAAGTTACAGTAAAAGCTGTTGAAATGCAACCATCATATACCAGACACACAATATCAGAAAGAACAAGTGAGAAAAAACTGTAAAAAAAAAAACAAAACAAAAAGAAAGATGAAATGTTTCTAAACATAAGTAGTAATTCTGCTGTTCTAATAAGAGATATATCATAGAGACTTTAGAAGAAGAGGATAGAGTAAAGCAGAAAACCCATCATCATTTGGAGATGACGACTGTTAGAGGCCCCACCAGACGCACTGTTGGGTTTGCTGCCAGTCCCGGTGCCTCCGCCAGTCCCGGTGCCACCAGTCCCGGTGCCGCCGCCAGTCCCGGTGCTGCCAGTCCCAGTGCCGCCCCCAGTCCCGCCGCTGCCAGGACTTTGGCGTTTAACACGGATACATGCTGTCCCATTTGTGCACGGATTAGCAGCCCCATCCCTGTTACACAGATCCTTTTCACAGCAATTTGCAGCGCTTCCTAGCTTTTCACACTCTGCCTTGGTTGAACACCCTTTCAGGGTGCCCTTCTGGCCTTGAGAGAGAGTGTGGGGGGTTGGGGGAGGGGGTGAAAGAGAGTTATGGTGAAAACCATTCACAGATATTCAACTCTGAAAAAATGTCTTTCTTTTTTCAGTGAATGTGTTTAGGAATAAAAGGAAACTCCCTATGATATGGAAAGCATACTGGGAAGGTGAGCAGAACTTTGTGCAGTCCTGAAGAGACTGTGTCTGATTTTTTAGAGATGGGACATTCACAGAATTCCGTGCATATTTTTTTTTTTTCAAATTTGGTAATAAGCTTTTATTTTTTTTAATCTATTGTTTATTTCAGTTCTTTTGTTACAAGATGTTATTACTACCCAAAAGATACATCTGAATGGATTTTACATGTTCTGTACATGTGTTACATGTGTTAATGCTTTCTTTGACAGTCCATTAAGTTTTATTTATTAACCAGGTAAGTAGGAGGTACAAACTCCAAATTACTAGATAATTATTTTGGTTTAAATGCCCAACAGGTTCTACGTATTAACTAGTTATTAAATGGCACAAAAGTATGCAGTGATGTTTCAACCTAATCTTGTAAGGTATTTCATGATTCATACATATATGGGCCTAAATGGGCTTCTGTGAATCTGTGAGTGATACAGTGCAGAACAGTCTTGAGCTTTTTTATCTCACCTGTTACAGTTTGGCAGCGATCTTGACCAGCAGAACAGATCTCAGCTGTGGGACTACAGGTCAAGCCCTCACACTTGTAGCATTTCAGTGCTGCAGGAGTCTGAAAAGCTTCACAGTTAAACAAACATATGGAATAGGATGATAAATAAAATGGAGAGCAAGATGTTTCCCACTGCCCTCTTCATAGAAAACACAAATGCAAACAAAAACTAAATTAGTAAATAAATGAATTAAATAACAACAATAACATAGTTTTCTGTGAATTTCACTTTCAATTATTATTTCATCTAATAATGAAAATGTTAGTAAAAAATCTTGAGTTGCGAAACGTCAGCTATGAAAGCTGCACTATCAGCTGCACATTGAAAGTGAATATATGTGATAATTAATCAATAACAATAATCAATAACAATAATTAATTACAGTTAATTTCTTATAAAAATATGGCCACAACATATGAGATTCTGTACCTTCAAACAGAAGCATGCCGATGAGCATCAGAGGGACCTGCAGCTTCATTGTTGGTGTATTTGAGGAGATGAGACTCTAATGGAGAGGTGAAGTTGAGTAGACTTAATATATATATATATATCTGTTCTAAGAGGGTGTGGCCTTGAGAAGACGCCTCCTGCATCCTTGAACATTGTAGCCCACACCCACACGTTACACACAAACACAGACATGACCCAATACACACATACACAACACTTTTTTCTCTACGGTGAACCTGCACCAGTAATAATGCATTTGAAGGTATGCACATACACTATATTGGCAAAAGTATTTGCTCGTCTGCCTTCACACACATAAGAACTTGAGTAACATCCCATTCTTAATCCATAGGGTTTAATATGATGTCGGCCCACCCTTTACAGCTATAACAGCTTCAACTCTCAAAATCTCTTGGTCTGCTGAAGCATTAAGAGTTCCTTTCGCTGGAACTAAGGGGCCGAGCCCAACTCCTGAAGAACAACCCCACACCATAATCCCCCTCCACCAAACTTTACACTTGGCACAATGCAGTCAGACAAGTACCGTTCTCCTGGCAACCGCCAGACCCAGACTCGTCCATCGGATTGCCAGAGAGAGAAGCGTGATTCGTCACTCCAGAGAACACGTCTCCACTGCTCCAGAGTCCAGTGGCGGCGCTTTACACCACTGCATTCGATGCTTTGCACTGCGCTTGGTGGTGTAAGGTTTGGATGCAGCTGCTCGGCCATGGAAACCCATTCCATGAAGCTCTCTACGCTGTTCTTGAGCTAATCTGAAGGCCACATGAAGTTTGGAGGTCTGTAGCGATTGACTCTGCAGAAAGTTGGTGACCTCTGCACACTGTGCGCCTCAGCATCCGCTGACCCTGCTCTGTCGTTTTACATGGCCTACCACTTCGTGGCTGAGTTGCTGTCGTTCACAATCGCTTCCACTTTGTTATAATACCACTGACAGTTGAATATTTACTTATTTAATGGAATATTTAGTAGTCAGGAAATTTCACGACCGGACATGTTTCACAGGTGGCATCCTATCATGGTACCACGCTGGAATTCACTGAGCTCCTGAGGCCATGGAAGTGATTGGAACACCTGAATTCAGTGATTTGGATGGGTGAGTGAATACCTTTGGCAATATGGTGTATGTTTGGAGTCATATATTTTGTGTACGTGCAGTAAAAGTCCAGAAAACATACTAAATGCTCCCTGAGTTAGATCACAGTTTTATCTAACAACTAGGACTAACTGACCAGCTTGACAGATAGTATGATCAATCTCCTCCTATAATAAAGAGAGTTAAGTTAGAATTACAGCCAGTGTAAAACTGCAGCACCCAAAGTAAATAAAATTTTACTTGAATGTTTGCAGATTTAAAAGTCGGTATTTAAGCCACATCCCAGTGTAGGACAGAGAAAACATAACATGGGAAATCAAAAAAGGATCTAATGAAAATTAGCATGATCATAGCAGGCTACTGCATAACACATTGCTGTATACTGATAAGCGCAACTAGAGCAACTGATAAACACAGCTAGCACATTTTCATAGTTAAATAACACAATCCAAAAGGAAAAAACAAACAAACAAAAATAACAACAACAATAAGTTCCTTGAACATCCTATGGTTTACCTTATGCTTGTTAAGCTGGTTTAGTGTGCATCACAATCTCAACAGGTCTTAAGTGTCTCTGGTTTCAGCTCTTAGGAGCTTTTTGGGTTTTTCTTTAATTTTGAACTTTGAAGAAGCTTAAAAAATACATTTATGACACTAACATTTCAAGCCTTCATCTTTTTTTTTTTCAATTTTTCCTGCAAGTTAAAGTTTTGTACTATTTAAAGATGTGAAAAGGCAACAGTTTACATTGTTTGGGTAATGTGATTAGACAGTTTGCCATTCATTCACATTCAGAATTATTGGTTTGATGTTTCTGTGTTGCATGGTGTGTCGCTTGTAGGACTAGGTAAAAGGTGAGCTTCTATTTAGCTCTGACATCATTAACTCATTAGAAATCTTTCACCAACAGAAGACAAGAAGGACAACACAAATCACACCACTACCTTTTTTTTACTCTTATTATTAGTGCACAAGATATCCAGAAAATTCATAGAGAAGAAAAAAGAGGAACTGAGCTTGCCAGTGAGTGAATTTTAGAAAAGAGTATCTAATAGGACCCTTTGGGTTTAAGATTAAGATTAAGTGACCCTTATTAGTCCCACAATGGGGAAATTTCACCTCCACATTTCAACCCATCTATGCAGTGAAACACCACATACACACTAGTGAAGACACATACTATGGGCCAGTGAGCACACTTGCCCGGAGCGGTGGGCAGCCCTAGCCGCAGCGCCCAAGAAGGAGTTGGGGGTTAGGTGTCTTACTCAAGGGCACCTCAGTCACGTCGGCTCTGGGGATCGAGCCGGTGACCTTCCGGTCACAGGGCTGGTTCCCTAAATTCCAGCCCATGGCTGCCCCTAGCAGACACAGGGGACTCAACTCTCGCAAGGTGAGAAAACTCCCGACTTTGGTGGGACTCGAACCCACAACCTTTGAATGGCCTCAAACCTATGTCTCTGCACCACAGAGCCCATAAGGTTGAAGTCTACATTGTATAAGTTGTTATTGTGTAAATGAAAGCTGTATAAAACACAATTACTAATATGACAAGTGATTCCAAAGGTTTAAATAGTAAGATTTTTTTAATGTATGCCTAATGTGTGTTATGCAGTTTGATTTCTTATGTGGTTTTGCTCTTATTCATAGTCCTAGGCAAACATGCTCAAGTTCATTCAAAGGTACCTTTATTCAAGTTTATTCAAATATGCACCTTTTCATTTCAGTACAATCTCACGGCACTGCAGCCTCCTTAGAGAGAAACAACTGCAGCTTCTGCTAAATATTTGAATGTGGTGCACAGACTACATTTGCACATTGTTTTCCATGTGTTTATTTTTGCATAGTTCCATGTTTGCGTGTGTTCTGTCAGTGGTAAAATATCTTGTTTTGCACATTCAGGTATTTCAGAAGAAAAACAGTTTTTTCTATTAATGATTTTTTATGTGTTTATTTTTTGCGTAGTTCCATATTTGCATGTGTCAATGTTGATATCAATGTTGAAAATATCTTGCTTTGCACATGCAGGTATTTCAGGAGAACGGTTTCTTCTTTTATTAATGACTCTTAAGCCACTGAAACTGCAATATCTGAGAAATGATGACTGTATTTCCTGATTTATGTTAATTCATATGAGTTACAATATAAAATACAACTGATTATCCAAAACTAATACATTTTAATTACATTCTTTACACTGGTATGATTAAAAATCATGTATAATATTTATAAAAGTTAAAAAAAGTCATATAGCAGCTTCTTTTCAAAGTATTTTTTGCATGCTATGATTGTTTATTATTGGCTAGAGGTGAACTCCCCTGCAGGTCCAGTTCTTTGTAAATGCCTTTCTGCCCTAGTGTTTAATAAAGAGCACTTCTCAAGGTGGAATCATGGCCTCCTCTGTGAATTACTCTGCGATAATGCTACAACAAGAATTCATATGAACTATACTGGTAGCACTTTACAATACTGGTCCACACATAAACATGTGATGAAATCATTAGTTAAGAATTTCTTATTTGTGGACCAGTATTGTAAAGTGTTACCATTATAGCAAAATAAAATAAAATTGACTTTAAAATGTTCAAACGTAATAATTTTTTTAAATACATTCTTTAAACTGTTATGTTTAAAACTCATGTATAATAGTCATAAAATTAAAAAAAGTTATAAAGATCATGTCTGAGCCTCAAGGTTTTATTTATTTATTTATTTTGCATTATATTATTCTTGGACACATTGTTTCAAGCTATTTTATTTGTGAAGTTACTGAAGTTTTAGTCTCTGTCTGAGAAGGTGTAAAGCTAAAATAGAACTAAATAAAATAAAATAAAACTGAGACGCATTATGTTTGCTCTTTTGCCAGGATTTTTCATGTTATAAGCAGTATAATCAGTGTCTTTGGGCCCTCAGGCCAGAAGGAGCCTTGCAGACACAAAGATCTATCTTTTCTTGTCTTCTTCTCAGTGTTGTTGTTGTTGTTGTTGTTATTGTTGTCTGAATGTGTCACGATTCAAGCAGAAACATTTCTCACATAAGAAAAGACATAAAACTGTAGGGTTTTTATTTTCTGTAAAAACGTTTTTCACTGTGGAGGTACCCTCAATACTGTATTCAGTACGTTTAGTCAGGGAACATAATTGTAATTTTTTAAATTGTAATTTATTTATTTTTTACAGTTTTTATGTCCATTTCCTGATTCCAGGCTTTTTTAATTTTTTTTTTTTTTTTGTATTTATTTAGACATTAAGTTATGAAACATGACAAATCTGCCCCAGTCTATGTGTATATTCCTTCAGCCTCTATTCCTTCCCCAGTCTCAGTCTCTATTCCTTCCCCAGTCTCAGTCTCTATTCCTACTCCAGTCTCAGTCTCTATTCCTGTTCCAGGCTGTCTCTATTGCTACTCCAGTCTCAGTCTCTATTCCTGCTCTAGTGTCAGTCTCTATTCCCACTCTAGTCTCAGTCCCTTTTCCTACTCCAGGCTGTCTCTATTCTTGCTTCAGTCTCAGTCTCTTTACCTCTCTCAGACTAAGTCTCTTTGCCTGTCCAAGACTCTGTCTCTATTCCTGTCCCAGTCTCAATCTCTATTTCCACTCCAGTCTCAGTCTCTATTCATGCCCCAGTCTCAGTCTTTATTCCTTCCCCAGTCTCAGTCTCTATTCCTACTCCAGTCTCAGTCTCTATTCCTGTTCCAGGCTGTCTCTATAGCTACTCCAGTCTCGGTCTCTATTCCTACTCTAGTCTCAGTCCCTATTCCTGCTCCAGTCTTAGAATATATTCATACTTCTGTCTCAGTTTCCTTTCCTACTCCAGGCTGTCTCTATTCCTGCTTCAGTCTCTGTCTCTTTTCCTGTTTCAGTCTCAGTCTCTATTCCTACTCCAGTCTCAATCTCTATTCCTGTTCCAGTCTCAGTCTCTATCCCTGTTCCAGACTTATAGT